GTTCTGACTTAAGTTTTGCAAACATCTTTGATTCAGATTTTATCTGTGATTGCAGTTTTACATTTTCAAGTAACTCTTTGGTGAGCTTTTTAAATGATTTTTATTAAACTATAATCAGCGAATGTGGTATTTCAGTTTTCTATTGCTAAGTGACAAACCACCCTGATTTTGTGGATTCTAACAGTGATGATTTATCATTTTTGTGATTCTGTGGCTTTCTGGTTGATGCATCTCCTGGTCCCACCTACCTCATTATCATGGTTGCCTGTCCCTGGCAGCCACGAGATCTGCAAAGCTCAAGATGGCCTCCCTCACATGTTGGCCACTAGATGCTGGCTCTTGGCTGGGAACACTCCCGTGTCTTCCTATCCCATAGTGGATAGACTGGCTTTCTTACCCTGGGATCCTGGGGTGCTTCTCAGTGACTTTCTTACATGGTGGTCTCAGGAAAACAGCCCAAGAGAGTATAAATTGGAACTCGGTTGCATCTCCTGGTCAGAGCAACTCACAAGCTCATCTCAGACTCAGGGGGGCAAGGAAATAGAGAACTCTTTTGATAGGAAAAGGTGCAGAGTTTCATGGCACCTTTGGACTTCCCACCAGATGGTTTATTCTCACAGTCTTCCAAAACTACCCACTGTCCAGCTGCCTCTGGCCCCCCCTGCAGTTAGGCTCCCCCTGGGAGCTGGTAGGAATCACAGGACAGATCCACACTGCTTCCCCCAGGAACACCCCGGGATCCCCTTGGGTTGTGCGAGGTGATTCCCTTCCCATGCAGACACCCACAGTGCTGGTTTCCTGTCCTCCCTGTCGAGGGAGGTGACCGAGTGGGGTCTGGTTCCTTCCAGAGAAGACCCATCCATTATGCCCGTCTGCACATGGCAGCACTGGTCATCATTACCTTCTGAAGATCCCAACACCACGAAATAACTGACGTTATTTAATAAAAAAAAAAAAAAAGCAAAACTGGAAAGAAGACTCTTAGTGAATGCATCCAGCTTTCCCAGCTGTGGCTACCGACTTTTTCTCTTTATATTGTGGTTTTTAAAACGTGGACGTGTGGAAAAAATCTGAACGAACATTCAAACCCATTCAGCACAAAGAGTCTGTAATTGCAGACCTATAAATATCCTCAAGCGAACAGAATTTGTTAAGGATGCCCCAGGAGCCTCCGCATTTAATCATGTAGCAAACCGCCTGAAAGAATAAGGAAAATGTATGACTTAATATAGAAAATCCCTGAATAGGGAACAGGAAGATTGATTACTTCAGCAGCTCAGCAGTGTGGTGAGAGACCCAGGCCTCTTCCTGACTCTGCGCTCCTACCCGCAGCCTGGCAGTCAGGCCAGCTAACACACTTCCAGGTTGTCCTGTGATGACGTGTGCCAGAGCAGGAGTTCCTTCTGTTTCTCCTGAAAGATGATGAACTCTCTCTCATGAGCCCCCCTCACACCTGGTTGTGAGGAACCTCGCCACTTGGTCCACGCTGAGCAACCAAAGACAATGTGTATGGAATCACCAGGCTTGCAGTTCAGTAATTAGGATTTAAAGTGCAATTGGTCAGCATTCCACAAAGACAGACACCTAAACAAAATCAGTTTCTACCCTACAACCCAGCAATTGCACTATTAGGTGTTTATCCAAAGGATATAAGAATGCTGATTCCACCCAAAAAATGCTGATTCAATGGGGCACATGCACCCCAATGTTGATAGCAGCACTGTCCACAGTAGCCAGATTATGGACGATGCCCAAATGTCCATCGACTGATGAATGGATAAAGAAGATGCAGGGGGCGGAATCCCTGGGTGGCTCGGCGGTTTAGCGCCTGCCTTTGGCCCAGGGCGCAATCTTGGAGTCCTGGGATCGAGTCCCACGTCAGGCTCCTGGCATGGAGCCTGCTTCTCCCTCCTCCCGTGTCTCTGCCTCTCGCTCTCTCTCTAGGTCTATCATAAATAAATAAATAAATCTTAAAAAAAAAAGAAGATGCAGGGGATATATATATATATATATATATATATATATACACAGACACACATCACACAGACACATATTTATACACATACATATATACATACATAAATGGATTACTCAGCCATGAAAAAGAATGAACTCTTGCCATTTGCAATGATGTGGATGGAACTAGAGGGTATTATGCTGAGCGAAATAAATCAGTCAGAGAAAGACAAATACCATATGATTTCACTCATATGTGCAATTTAAGAAATAAATATGTGCAGTTTAAGAAATAAAACAGATGAACATAGGGGAAGGGGAGGAAAAATAAAATAAGATAAAAACAGAGAGGGAAGCAAACTATAAGAGAGTCTTAACAATAGGAGACAAACTGAGGGTTGCTGGAGGGGAGGTGGGCAGGGAGATGGGGTAACTGGGTGATGGGCATTAAGGAGGGCACTTGGGATGTGCACTGGGTGTTATATGTAAGTGATAAGTCACTGAAATCTACTCCTGAAACCAGTACATTATATGTGAACTAACTTGCATTAGTTTATTTATGAGAGAGAGAGAGAGAGAGAGAGAGAGAGAGAAGGAGTGCACACATAGGCAGGGGCTGGGGGAGGGGCAGAGGTGGAGAGAGAGAAAGAGACTTTTAAGCAGGCTCCATGCCCAGAGAGGAGTCTGATATGTGGTTTGATCTCACAACCCTGAGATCATGACCTGAGCCGAAATCAAGAGTTGGACACTTAACCAATTGTGCCACCAAGAGCCCCTTGAATTTAAATTAAAAAAATAATAATAAAGTGGTGCTGAAGGTAGAAAAAACATCAGTTTCTAGATTTTGGGCAGGAAAGAGTCTGTTTAGATGGTGAAGCAACCTTAGGCATGCAGACATACATATCTGACCTGGGCACTCCACCTCCATCACTTTACTTCTAACATTTATTGAACAAAATTTCAAATAAATTATTTTAAATGTTTGCAAGTTCTGCCTTAATGATTTTTAGAGGCAGAGAGTAAGATTTCTTGCATGAAATCTTACAGAGATTCATTACTTCTACTCTAGAGAAACAATTACTCTATCGTTTCTCCCAGTGTTTTCGAGATGGGTTGAATATGACCAGTTTTTATTCAAGTGTCCCTGGGTGTGAGTGTGTATTCTGTGGCCTTATATGTGGCATGGACAGATTCATTCATGTATATGGAATAGGCAGATGATGGCATTGACTGACACATACCCACCTTAATACTAATTAAAATTTTATTCCTGTTGGTGTTACAAGGGGAAAGAAGAGCAAACTAAACTGCACTATCATTGAAAATAGTATTGAGGTCGACAGAAATTTATTGAAAGCACACACTTAAACACTGTTGTTCAAGAGCATTACGTCTGAAAGCAGCGCCCCAACAAACTAAAGACATATTTGCAAATGAAACTAAATCATTAACAAAAGTGGATGTTTTTCCTAAGAGTGACACAAATTAAGCTCCAGTAAATGCACATGCTCCTCTTTTTAGTGTAACTATTGAGAAATAGGAATCAGCATTGCCCGGATTATTTTTTTGTACACAAAATGACCAGAAAAATACATCATTACTTCACAGTTATCAGGTGATTAGCATTTAGCCTTACAAATCAGTTTCACTGACTGCATATATATTTCCAAAAGAAAACAACATGATTGTTTCTCAAATGTAATAATTATTTGTATCCAACTGTTTACCACATTTTGAGCTCTTTAGGAAGCCTGTTTTACCGAGATCCATTGTTAGCTACATCCACATATCTAGAAGAGCTCTTGTTCACGTAGTTGAGAGATCCACATCCTCAATAAAGATAATTTATCCTCAAAGAAGAGGTATAAGAGAGTTTTCCTAAAGGTGCTAAATCTTCATAATACTATTAAGCCAGAAGTTCCTAATTAAGTTTTTTTAATATTTTATTCTCTGGTTCACACCCTTGGATAAACTCATAACTTAAATTCTTTTCACCTATACTCTTACATGTTCCTATCTGCCCAGCCCTGAGTGGATGGGACAAGCAACATGGATTCATTTATTACAAGTGGTGTAGCTGTGATACACGGGAATGTTTTCTATTTCAGGTGAGAAAAAAAGTAGGTAAGAAGTAGCTGCATCCTGGCAGAGAGCACTCTGTGGCTCAGGTATGGTAGCTTCCTTCCCTGAATAAACTTGTGGTGTGGGGTGTTATTCAATGAGTGGCAAGCTATTTGTTTAACAGAATTTCAGTTAAATTATTGTCAAGACATTTCCTCAGCAGGAAACAGATCCTTGATTTATGGAGTAGTAACTTCCTTTTGTTCCTCTAATAAAAAATTCAGGAGCACATGAATGCTGCTTGGTTTCCACTTGTCTTCAGAGAAATTCGGTCGTGTGATCACTGTGAGGGATGTGCACATGGCAGTAGCTGTGAGCCTCACATCTGGGTCAGGGGAAGCCACCGGCCTGCCGCCTTCTGTGGAAGAAGCACCAGCCCTCTCTATGCTTAGGGCTGCCCACCACTTGATCCAAGATGAGACACTTGTTTTAAATTGACCTACACATAGGCTGGTCAGTGGCACTCTCTGAAGACAGTCGGCCATGAAGGTGTCTATCCAAAAGAGCAATGAAGGCAGAACTAATTCTCTAATGCAATCGAACTATTCCCCCTCTCTGGAATTTTTACGGCAGCATATGGACAAGAGTGTCCCACCAAAAGTGGAAGAAAGTCAACTCACAGAAAGAAGCGGTGGCTACAAGTGTCCTGAGTGAAAGCACAGAACAATGAATTTCTAGCACTGCCTCAAATTCTTTTATTCTATATGTCTTTGGGTAATATTAACACACACACACATAAACCTGAGTGAGCTTCCCTTACTTTCAATCAGAAGGGTTTAGTATAATCCCCAAACTGATTCTTTCTTTCTTTCTTTCTTTCTTTTCTTTCTTTCTTTCTTCCTTCCTTCCTTCCTTCCTTCCTTCCTTCCTTCCTTTCTTTCTTTCTTTCTTTCTTTCTTTTCTTTTCTTTTCTTTTTTTCTAGTGTGTGTCCCCTGATTGGCCTGGAAGCAAGAGCTATAACAGAAGGCATGTGTTACGTGACATCTGACACAAAGGAGTCTGCTCACGCACTCACCTGAGAGATCGGAGAACAGCTGCTTTGGGCGGCCAAGGTAATCTTCAATGAACTTTTTAGAGGTGTTATTTTTTTTTTCAAGTCCTGTAAAAGTCATTTAACAAGGTCTTAGAACTCACAGACATAAAAGAACCTAGTAGGAAAAATGAGTGTCTGGTGACGTCACCCCTCGTGAGCCGGGGAGGAAGCGGGAACTCCTCAGGGAGGCTGCTCTGTGACTCCTGACAGAGGTGAAGATGTGCTGACACCCTAGCAGGTGTCTCCCGGAAATCCCTGCAGACATTCCAAGGAGACCTGCACGAAGACGTCTGTGATGGTGCCATTTGTAATAAAGAAAAATAGTTCATGTCTTGAGTGAAAATGGATGAGAAATGGAAGCATATTAAATCTAGTTTGTCCTGGTTCCTATAAGCCCTGTTACAGTTCCCAAGGACCCTTACCATCCCATTTCACAGACAGAAAACCGAATCCCAGACACACCATGTGTTTTGACCAAGGAGTGAAGATTCACACCTTGGCTCTGGAGCTCCTATCCTCACTTATGTTATTTCTGTGACTTTCCTTTTGAAGCTGGCATAGGGACATCATGTGAGACAGAGCTAGCGCTCCGGTCGTGGCACATGGAGGACTCAGGCCCAGCCAGGCCTTGGCAAGTGCTCAGTAGCATTTGTTGAAGTGTGAGCTCCTGACACAACATGCAGGTCCTAGGAGCCGAGCAGCCAGACGCCAGGAAGTACCCAGGAGCTAGCCATCAAGACGGCAGGACCGCTGTCTTGGCGGCAAGACCACATCCAGCAGCCGTGATTTGGAACTACCATGACTCTGGGCTGAATCAGGTTGTTCACACACACAGTAGATTGGGGCAGGGTCAGCCTAATAAGGACCAGTAGATTAGCTGCTTTAGGGAAAGAGCACTTAGTTCATGGTGGGCTGGACTGAGGCACTTGGAGCTGGAGATAAGGCCAGTTTTCCCAGATGCTGTCGGCCTGAGTGGACACTTGGAGCTTAATGGGAATGCTTCCCGGCTTGGCCGTCCTGTGGGTGGCTAACTGCCGGGCAGTGAGTCCCAGAAGGATCGCAGTACACGTTTCCCTTCAAAATGCATCCCCTGCATATAAAGAAGCCCTCATGTGTAATCTAAGTACATCCCCCAAATTTAGTCACATTCTTTTTATCTCATTGCTAAGATAATAATAAAGAGAATATTCCCCAGTGGATGTCTGTGCCTCCCCTGAGGAAATCTCATTTTATTTCCTACTCTGAAACTGTTCATAAATCATTCTCCAGCTGAGTACAGTTCAGTGCTAGTACTTAGCTTATCTGACCTTCACATTAATTATTTTTATTACAGCAGCAGGAACGTCAGTGTGTTTTCCCCCTGCCCTCCGAAGCCATGTGGCCCCGAGCAGAGTGGCTCCCGTCCTGCCACCGGCGGCTCTTCCGGTACCTGTCCAGCTGCCCCAAGTGTACTAGCCCAAACCCCATGTCCTGTCATACCAATGGATGCACGAGGCCCGTTTGTGTGTGTGTGTGTGTGTGTGTGTCTTAGATGCGATTAAAATTCTTACAAAAACTGAAAGTGAAATGAGGAAATGATTGGGCAATCGAATAGAAGGGCCAGTGCCAGGAAGACCTATCATACCGGGGGGGGCCCCGCGATGCGGCCAGGCAGACGGAGGGAAGCTCAGGAGAGCTCTCCTGAGGGCGACCGCGGAGCCAGGCCATGTAGTCCGTGTAGGACATGAGCAAGCACAGCTCACAGGAAATGATCCATTCCCTGCGCTCACTTACTCGAAAGGTCCAAACCTTCAAAGTTGCGGGAGTGCCATGGATGGTTGCACAGAAGGCCAGCAGTCACGCCTTTCTCCTTGCCTTGAGAGGGGAGAAGAAATGAAACTGAAGGAGTGTGTCTCCATCCTCCCCCTGAAGGAAAGCCCCTCTGTCCCATGCTCCAAAGATGGAACGCTGCTGACCGTGACCCTGCTACTGGCCCTGACGGCCTGCTGCCTCTCCGTGGTGTCTTTCCACAGGGCGGCTGCTTTGCAAGCGGAGCTGGGGAGCCTCCGGGCGGAGCTGCGGGAACAGCACACTGAGGCTGAGCGGCTGCCAGGCCCTCCGCAGGCCAGAGCCAGGGCCCCCAGGGCAGCCATGCGGGAGACCCCAGCTGTCACCTCAGCTCTGAACGTGAGTTTGCAGCAGCTGCGGCCCCAGGTTCGCCCCACACCACTGTCCCCCACACCTCAGATATCTTTGCAATAACTTGGGGTTTTTCTCTCCTTAGGGAATCTTGGCACCATCCGCTGCAGGAGAAGGCAACTCCAGCCAAAGCAGCAGAAACAAGCGTGCCATTCAGGGTCCGGAAGAAACAGGTAAGTTTTGGGTGCAGAAGCATTTGGGAACCAGGGAGCCTGGCATCCACAGGTGTGGAGGCTGGCCTCTGCTTTGGGGTCCCGAGAGTTGATCAGTACTCAAAGACTGTGAGAGGTGCATTTACACCAGATGTGGCTTTAGGACACAGCCTGTGCATTGGCACATTGATGAACCTGCATGCCACGTTTTGTCCTCCAATGACCATAGTGAGGGCTGTGCTGTCCTGGCAGCATAAAGGATGAGAAAGAGCCTAGAGTCTTCCTCCAATAGATCGTGCCTGTGTTGGAAACAGTGTCCATCACTCCAGCAGGAAAGCACTTCAGGTCAGTATAGGTTCTGTTTACCCGAGTCATAGACAGTCAGGTAAAGGTAAACACTTCCTGAGGGCACCTTGTGTGCCATGCAGCCCAGTGAAGCTCCTGTTGGGAGCAGGTGCGTGTTTGTGATTTGTTTATTGCTGTAGTTCTAAAAAAGTTCTTTTTACACACACACACACATGCACGCACGCATGCATGCATATACACACAGATTTTAAAGCTTTTCTTTAATGCTTTTCCAGGAAATCCACAAGTTTGTAATCTTCTTGTAAGAGTTCTTTCATGATTGCTGCCTTTCTTTCTGTCCCACTTATTCCACAGTCTTAGAGATTCCTGAAACCTTGGATTGGGCAGGGCTTCCCCAAATGTTTGATTCTAGTTCCTGCATTTCAACGATGAAAAAGAGCATTACATTCATTCAATAATATCACAACTTAAACAATCCCTGGTATCCTTTCTTTCTTTCTTTCTTTCTTTCTTTCTTTCTTTCTTTCTTTCTTTCTTTCTTTCTTTCTTTCTTCTTTCTTTCTTTCTTTCTTTCTTTCTTTCTTTCTTTCTTTCTTTCTTCTTTTTTCATTTCTTTTTTTTTTTTTTTGAAAGAACTCGTTTTGAGCAAACAGCATGGGCCTGATTGGAGCATGCTGGGATAGTTATTGTCACGGCTACCATTTCCTTAGGTCCTCACGCTGGCCTTGAGGTGAGCAGAACAAGTGTAGTTCTGTACATATATATTTGTACTTGTGGAGGGAAGCACACACTTAGAGACTAGGTGTTCTTCCGTCAGACCACACACACACTCACACACATTAGATGCTTTGGCTGGAAATGTATTCTTCACTAACCGCCTTATTCATAGAAAGAAAATTCGTACCTCTTTCTTAAAACCATAATTGTCTACATATGCTTTGTGTCAAGTATCAGAAACAGTTGGGTTTAAATATATATAAACTAGGAAATGTGAGTACTTTTACTATACTTTAATACGTGAATTATTTTCATACTTTGCAATTTTATCATATGTATTTCCTACCTAACTGAAAAAAATACAGCATATATACTATGGATTTATTTTTGTGTTCACTTATCATTATGCAATAAGCATTTTCCCTACTACTAAGTTATTCTCACACATCCATGTTAGTTTCCTGTCACACAGTTATTTAACATGACCATTTCCAAAACTTTTGTGCAGATTTCTTGTTTCTTTCTTTCTTTTTTTTTTTTAAAGATTTTGCTTATTTATTCATGAGACACACACACACACAGAGAGAGAGAGAGAGAGAGAGAGAGAGAGAGAGAGAGAGGCAGAGACACAGGCAGAGGGAGAAGCAGGCTCCATGCAAGGAGCCCGACGTGGGACTCGATCCTGGACTCCAGGATCACATCCTGAGCCGAAGGCGGCGCTAATCCGCTGCGCCACCTGGGCCACCCTCTTATTTCTGATGAATTGCATGTTCCATAGAAAGAATATCAGAGATAAAGAGGATAAACATCTTTATCACCCTTACTCCCTTTTGCCATGTTGCTTCCAAAATGAATTATAAATGTATTGCAGTCAGAAATGCAGTGTACAAGTTCTCCACATTCTTACATTCTTTTAAAATTTATGTTGGCTAGCTTGGTAGTTGTAAACAGTATCTCAAATGTAATTTGTTACTTGCTTACAAATAAGAATTTCTTTCTGTATATTTACATAACTTCTAATTTTATCTTCTGCTAATTTTTATTTATAACTTCCCTCATTTGTCCTAATTCTTTGTGATTTTGAATGAACTATATTAAACATTTTGTTTATCAAAATTTCGCTGTAAATATCTTCCCAATATCTTGCTTATTTAAAACGTGTGCAGAGATTTTACATCTGTGTATGTAATATGATAAACTTTTCCTTCTGATCTTCTGTCATATGTCAAAGCTAAAAATGTATTTCTTCATAATTTCTTACATAGCCTATTCTATTCTCTACCACTTTGACTTGTTTATAACTTTGTGTTTTAGTTTGTTGTTATTTAACTCCTTAATCCTCTTGTCATTCATTTGGTAGATCATGTCTACTAGCTTTAACTTTCCCTTTCTTCTTTAATTTTTTTCCTTCTGAATTATTCCTAATATCTCAACTAAATTTATTAGATGATTCTTTTTAACTTGTTTGCATTGGAAAGTTTACTGTGTTGTATTAAGTTTCTCACATATAATTGAATCAATTTTCATTGATTTACTATTCTTTTTATCTGTATTAAATAAAATATGTTAAGTATTTTGTAATATAATGAGCTTTAATATCTCATAGAGTCAGAATGTTTCAATCTTCTTCAACCTCCGTGCTAGTATTCTCCAGCCTCTGCACATTAGGTTTATGAATAATCCTTAACTTTACCATTGCAAAAGAGCTGCAAAGGGCTCATTATAGCAGGTTTAAGAAGAAAGGACATTGAATAAGAAATTAATTAACTTCCAGAGTCCCACTTCCATAAATACCCTCTATTATATTTAAATTTTCCTCCTATGTGCAAACTTTTACAAATTTGTGATTCTATGGCATCCAAAAATCATATACTGATTAAAAATTTTCTCTAAATAAATTTGTAATTTTTAGAAAGTTTGGAAAGTAACAAAAAATTGTATCAAGTGAATAAAAATTTACCCAGTTTCCACAGCCCAGATATAACTGCTATTTTCATAATCATAATTTGCCTGAGATTTTCATAGACCTTTCATATAGTATATATGTGTGTATATATACATTATACATATATATTAGTATAGGTATATATAGTATGTATGTAAATATATCAAATATATGTATAGATAACATATATATGCAATAAATAGTACCCCCCATATATATACACACTAACACTCATAACGTCCATAGATCTGAGAGGAGATCTCCTCCCCTTGAAGAGGAGGACCTCAGTTACAGGTCATATCTGCTATTCCTCATTGGTGAAACTTGCTTGAATGTCATTTTAGATGCCATCCTTCTGTGCAGGGAAAATGTAATTTGCTTAGTACTACAAGAGTAATGTGTATGTAACCAAAAGGGTTGTCTGGAACTCCTTGACTCCTCTCTTTCTTTTCTTTCTTTCTTTCTTTCTTTCTTTCTTTCTTTCTTTCTTTCTTTCTTTCTTTCTTTCTTTCTTCTTTCTTATCTGTTTGGTAATGTCCTTTCTTTGGAGTTGAGAAAATTCTGTATAATTTGAATCTATGCAACTTTCTTTGTTTTTGTTTGTTTCTATTCTAGTTCTGATTTTTTTTTAAGATATTTATTTATTCGAGAGAGAGAGAGACTATGAGCTGAAGGCAGTGGCAGAGGCAGAAGGAAAGGCAGATACCCCACTGAGCAGGAAGCCAGATGTGGAGCTCAATCCCAGGACCCCGAGGTCATGACCTGAGTCAAAACCACAAGTTGGACACTTAACCGACTGAGACACCCAGGCACCCCTTGTCCTGATTTATTTTAAGTAAGACTCAAAAACTTTAGGTTGTCCCTGTTACTTTCAAACTGTCCATTATTGTTCTTATTTATTAATTTTCTATATGCATTATAGAACCATTGACAGTTTCTGTTGGAATTTTATGCAAATTGTAACTTTGAAGAAGAAAATGAATTTGTTCACTGTTTAATTTATATAACCAATAATGCTTAATATCTTTTTATTAAATAAAAAATCTTAAATTTCCCAATTAGATAGAATTTTCTTAGGTTTTACTGTTCTTTCATAGTTAATCATTAAAAAGGTTTTGTTGTGATTTTAGAGTTCTGGGATTTTCAAATAGCTTATTAAACTGTTTTAAAATACACAGAATTTTCAACAAATAATGTAGCATTCAATCTCATGGATAGTTTTGAGCCACATCAACACCCTTACTGGACTTGTACTTAACAGAATTATAATATTGTTTCAGATTTTTTTAAAGAGTAGTCTGCTTTCTATATATACTCCTCAATATCAGTGTGCCATCATTTTATAACTATGTCAAATAGGTTCAGAACTAACTATTGCTAAATAACATCCCAGGACGTTGCCCGTTTTTATTTCTCTGTAAATCCAATCTAAATTTCAGCAGCACTTCAGTTTTATTGTGTGCTTGTTCAGTTTGTAAGTAAACTCCAGGGTGTTGGGCAAGAACACACCACATCCTCAGTATGTAGCACACCTGGGATTACATAACACCCAGGGGAGGTTTGTATGTGTCCTGTCTGTACAACCTAAGAGTAGAGGCTTCTGTGGTCCAGGTCCTCTTTCTTTGGCACATTCATTGTGATACTTCCACACAGTAGGTGTTCTATGAATATTTGCTGATTGATTTGGGGCTTACTATGAGGTAAGATGCAATGACTTGACATCATTTGAAGAGGGAGTGATTTTCCCATATTTCTTCCTTTCTCAGGTTTAGATTGGAGGCCATCTTATGCAATTTTTTAACTTGACATAGAAAGCAGCTAATTTACCAAAGGATGAGTTTGCTTGCAAGGCTAGAGTTGCAGGGAGAGTTCAGGGGCCCCTTGTCCCAGACCTTCTTGGTTTACCAGGTAGAGACACAATCTGGGTTCGCTGAAGAGTCAGAGACAAACTCTCATATTCAGCAATCTAACTCTAATTTCATGGATTTCTGGTTTTCTTTAATGTTTTGGTTTTAATTGAAGTATTATTTAAATGCGGAAAAGGGCACGTATC